ATCACCTCCACCACAATCCCCACCGCCCCCAAGTTGCCCGCCATACTGGTAGGGCGATGGTCCTGAGTGCTGGTCACAGTGAGGTAGGATAGTAGTGACAGGGGTTGCGCTGGGAGTATTAACGTTGGGATGGGTAGGGTAGGTGGCCTATCATGTCAGGACATCCATTGGCTGCCGCTACCAGGAATCACCGCGGGTCTGGTCCTTGGCCTCTAAAACACCCTAAGAAAAATAAAAAATAAAAATAAAAATAAAAAAAGGAAAGAAAAAAAAAAAGTTTAAAAATGAATAGCAAGCTACCGAGGCCTTGTCGTACCACCTCATGCCTGGCCAGAGGTACAGTCAGATGCATTGTGGACAGGGCTTCCTGAGAATGCCTTGAAAAGAAGGGGATTGTGGACAGGGCTGCGTGAGAATGCCTTGAAAAGAAGAGGGCTGACAAAGCAATAGGGCGTCCTCCCACTACTTTCGAGATGCTCAAAAGACACAAATCATGGTCGTGCATTTTTCCATGTTCTAGCGAAAAATTGATTCTCCTTTTGCATGAGGCCCATAGATTGCTCCCCCCGCCTCTCACGCGGAGTCACGTGAGAAACAGAAGACATTCTTCTTCCGAAAAAAAAAACAAAAAACAAAGGCAAAATGTCATTTCAACCTCTGAACTACTTGACGTGTATCTACCCATGTTCTACGGGACTATTCATTCTCATTTTGCACATTCGGTGAGTCGTGGAACGAGGCCCTAGATCTCGATAGCTCTTTTTTTGCCTTTTTTTTTAGTAAGCCCTGCCAACAAGGCAAGGCACTCCCTTCTTGTTTTTCAATACTTCATAGCAGTAAACAGATGAATGCTTCGCATATTTATGGGGAGATGCAGTTCAAACTGGAAAAAAAAAACAAAAGCAGAAACGCCCCATGCCAAGGACACGAACTAGAAAAGGATTGAGCCGTCACTACTTTCATGACCCACCCCCCGCTCCCCATTTTTGTTTGTTGGCACCCAACCCAAAACAAAGCGAAGCAACCGGAAAAAGATTGAGTCGTGAACACATTGATGACCCCCTACTGCCCGCTTTCCACCCATCCCCAAACCATTTCTCCTCACCCAAAAAGGAAACCGGGTCGCCGTCCCCAACAAACCTGAACGATCTAATGAAATGACCACTAGACGTACACTACCCAAAGCCTAGCACGACCAGCCACACTACCGGTCCGTCTCCTAGCCGCGACCGCACCCTTTGCACTTTTGCCTAAGCCCCGAAAAAACCCCGACAAACCTCATTTGACGTCCACGACATTTCCCGAAAAAGAAACTCCACAAAACGACAAAAAAAACGTCGAGGTAAGCGCGGCCTCTGGCTGCGAACACTTTCGTACTTTTTCCTCGGCGCACCTCTACCCCCACTATCCTACCTTATCCTAAGGACCATCACCTTACAGTCTATTACAAAAGGAGGTGACCTGACCGCACAATGGTCGTGGATACCGGACTAAGTACAACCCTACTTACTCTATTCAGTCCGGATTGAAGCGTAGACGTATGAGCCTTGCCACATGGGTACTTTGGGCGCTAGGACTAACTATATCTCTACAGGTTCCATAGGTACGTTATTTCGATGTTCTATTGTGGTGATGATAGATACCATTCCGGCCCCGCAGTAAGGTGCAGTGTCGAGCGCATCGACCCCCGCTTTTTCTTGCGAAGAGGCGGGAGCCCTCCCGGCCATGTCACGCAGGAGTTAAAACAAAACATAAAGACAACTTGGGGACGGTGTAGAATAACCCCGCGAATCACCGAGACGGTCGTGGGTGCGTCGTCCCTTCGCCGCTCTAGCCGGGTGGGCCAACTGTACATCTCGCAGTCCCCTACGACAGGATAGGTTCCCGCGGGGCATAAGCTTGCTTCCCTAAGGGGTTGTCACCACCCTTAGGGGCGTATCCCTACCGAGTTATTGACCCACGTGCGAAAGTTTTTGCATGCAGTTCCAGAGGTGTGTCAACCGAGGGTGTTTGCTCGCTAGCTGTAGTATAGGTATGCACGATTAAAACGCCTATTGAACCCGGACGTCGTTCGTTCCTTAGGGCGCTGATCTTTATAACAATCACACATAGTTATACCAAAAGGAACTGTACTTAGTCGATAGGAATGTATATCCGATCTGCAATGATAATCGAAAAAAATCAAAATCATCATTAGATACACAAAGATCAAAATAACACTCGACCACCACGAGTCGAACTCCACAAAAATCGTACAACCGCCAACGAGGAGTTGGTTTTAGACAATAACATATATGCAGCCGACACAGTAGTCGAACACCCTTAGTTTTGACTTGATGAGACACGCTGTCAAAGTTATTCATTCCATATACAGTCGACCTAAGATTAAACATGTACATTCGTCTTCACAGATGCTTAGTTTTATTGGATGACACGCTGTTTTGTGAACGATTCCTTATAAGGTGCATTTCTTAAAGTGTTTCATATCTCTCCCTCTAGGAACTGGTCTGGGGTACTCCTCTCCTCGTCTGAGCACAAGACTCGGATCTCAGAAGTCAGGTCGTCTCCATCCAATCAGCAAAGTACCCCCCCGTAGAACGGTCCACTCTGGGTTGATAATAGGGTCGGCTCCTAAAGCAACGAACTCTTGCCCCAGATGCTTCCTGAAGAAAGAGAATGTGTGCACCACAAGTAGATTTTTATTTGTCTCCTTCGTCTCTTGCCCAAGGTAACTCAAACGAAAAGAGTTATAAAAGATAAAGAATGAGAACCATTTAGACAGATAAAAGTTATTCATGAAAGAAATGATCAATATTTGGAAAAAAACTACGTTCGTTTGACCTTATCTGCTTTATTTTATTTGAATTCATTCTACCTTACACACAAAATTAACGCTTTTCAAAACAACGAATCATTTTTGGAATGAAGGCAGGTGAGAAGTAAAAGGAAGATAATCATTTTTTTTTTTCTCAATTAGGCATAATCAATCTCCTTTGCAAACATTTTTCTACCTACCTGTACAACACGCAAAGACAACAAGTTTAAGAGAAAAACAGTGCAATCTCATGCTCAAGTCATATTTTTTCATTCACGTGCACGATACGCACGACTTTTATCTACCTTTTCAACGAACATTCAATGAACAAGGTCAAGCAAAGTGTGGGTTCATACATGTGTGCAGGGAAATTTGAGTCGGGGAGGTGGAGACGCTTTTCGTTTTGAGGATAAAAAAGTATCGAATTCATTCCACTAAAAGTTTCATCCATAGTAGTTACAACTGATATTTTTTTAAAAATTAAAATTAATTCGTACATAAGCATCTGTAGATTAGAGTAGAATCCATATTTATGAGATAATGAGAATGTCAACAATAACAGGGATTTTATTCAAATAAGCAACATGCAAGAAAGAAATGTAAGTCATTTCACAAACAGAAGTTGATCACATACAAAATGAGAACAGTAATGTTTACACAACAATCGTACCAAAATATAAGACATGAGAAGAAAACATCAAGTGAATAAACGCAAGACAGAAAAAAAAAAGATATGGGTGAGATTTATGCTACCCATTTCGCCTCAAAAATATATTATTCACGAGGTTCCCAAAAATTTTACGTTGAGCGTTTGTCAAACACTTATATTTAAAACGAAAGTTGCAGTTGATTGACTATATTTATTAGTCATCAACAACTAATGATCATTTTGGAACGTTCACTCAAACCCGATAAAAAATTAAATATTTACAAATAGTATTTCCTCGATAGCTGATTACATATGCTTTGTATATCTTTCAACACGATATTCCTTATAAATGATGGTTTAACGTTTCTGGCTCAAACACGGCATGGAGGCTCAATGGATCGCATTTCACTCTTACATCATAAAATCACGGTTAAAAAATACATTTGTTATTCAAAATACCTAATAAAATTATTATTTAAGTATGCTTCTTCTCTATGTTGCGTCCATTCACTATACATTGTCCTCCCATTCTTTTTGTGTGATTATAGTGTAAGCATGACTTCATTGTTTTAGTGGTCATGCATGTGCATTATATATTTTTCGACATGCAATGCCATATCCACGACCGTTGAATGCGAGAGAAATTATGGTAACGTTTTTTTCTATCGTACATCATAAAGGCATTACATCATGGTTG